AGTATCTATTTCCTTTGCTACGAATGAGAATCGCGTATCTCTGAAGATAAGAAAGCTGCCAGTAGGGCATGTGTTTTTGTCGGGTCCCTTGCGTAGTCACCTCCTCGTGGTGGGACCTGGTAATTGGTATCCTTTTCCAAAGAAAATTCTCACTTTTGCAAAAGGATACCAAGCTAAGAACTACGCGTACCCGTCGACACTCTCATTCTCACACACAGTTGAAAGTTTTAGCAATCAATTGCCTACGAAACACAAAGAAGAATTTCTTCAATTTTCTGACATAAAATTTCACAAGAAGTAGCAGTAAAGTAAGATTAAATAAGAAATGCAATTCTGTGACAAATTTTTCCCAAACAGTGTTTTTAATATGTTACACAATAAAAAGTTACATTACGTGGTAAGATACTGTATCTCATCTTATATATTTTTCTTTTCAAACATTTGTACGAGACTTTTCTGCGATTTTTCAATTGCATTACGCATTATTGCAATAATTTCTATCGTTACATTTTCTATCGTTACGTTAATTCTAATTGTTTAGCAGCTTTTCTGCTGTTATCGACCCTACATTTTACTGACACTTGTGAAATCGACTCTACATTTTTTTTTTTTTTTACGTGGATGTAGGCCGACCCTACATTTTACTGACACTTGTCGAATCGACCCTACAATTTTTTTTTTTTTACGTAGAGGTAGGCCGACTCTATGTGATAAACAATTGGCAACCAAACGGTGGCTCTCCCTCTACATTCGACGGATAATGTGTACAGGTATTTAATGTAATTTTTTAGCAATTTGTTTTTGTAATTCATCCAAAGCGATATATTATGAAATTAAATTAACCACTCAATAAGTATTAACATTAGATTGTTTCCTGGATATGGCCATGGTGGTCATCAGTGACTGGAGTACCTCAAATGTTTAGAATAATTAAAATAAAATAAATGTTGTCAACTAAAAATTTTGAACGTCATAGCAAGCTAGACATTATTTTCAATTGAAAAAAAAAATTATAAAGCATAATACTATAATAAAACACGTACAATAAGAGGATAGGACGCTAGAATACTGAACGCGTCAATAATGATTTTGACAATTTTCTTCATTTTATACAAATTTGTGCAGTTAAATTTGACATTAATATGAAGATTTATATGTTCAAAATTAATATACAAAAAATCACAGAGGTATTATTCGGTACTTTTTTTAAAAGTCTCGTTAAAGTTGATAAAAATTTTACATAAAAAATTAGGAAAATTTATTACTATTGTATTAAAATTCTGTGTCAGCGACAAAGGTATTCAGATACTAAACACAATCTATAAAAATCAAATCAAAAACACAAATGGTCTGTGAATGGCACATATTTGAAAAATACACAGTTATTAATGAAGCAAATTTCACGTCTTAATTTTAACAACAAATGGACGTATTCAGTCAAAATTATAAGTAATATTACAAACTATGGTTTGTTATTAACATCTTAAAATGAAAAAATTTGTAGATTTTACACTTTGAATTTTTGATTTTTGTCCATTGGTCGAAACACTATGCGACGGCGCCGCGAATGCTACGGCGCATTAACTTCGTGAGCGATTCGACGCTAGGTCGCGAGAACGGCTCCTGCCCTCGCCTCGTGCACGTTCGTACCGCGAACTCCTCGCCCAACGACTTTGGGTGCGGTCCCTGGAGTCTCGTCGCGATCTATCGCGGGAGTAATCCCACGCGCGGTCTCGCGAATATTCTCGCGAACAGTCGCGCACTACCTCTCGATTGTTCACGTTTGCGCGAATGAGCTTTACGCACTTTATGCACTGTTTACGTTGACGTTGTTTTGGGACTACTGTAGTCGAAATAGCGCTACGACCAATCGCATGCGTCACATCGGTTAGCAGTGCTGGGAACTGCGCAGAATGGTCCAAAATCGGTCCGAGAGCGAGGTTACTTTAATATTGGACAGAATTTAGTTATTATTTTAATCGGCGCGAGGAAGAAATTATAGAACTCGAGAAATGCGTGTATAAATAAAATTTATTCAACAATGTTTAATACTTTTCTACTTGGAAATTAATGAGCTTCCGAACTGCCGTAAAAAAAAACAAAGTTGACCTTTAAATCTCCACTTACAAAAAAGTCGTGTACACCACGCGATGACCCCCTTGATGCCATGTAACCTTTGAATAAATAATGTTTTTGTAAAACGCATAATTTATGTTATTCGAGGTGATCAAGTTAGGTGCCTCACCCTGTACATACAGGGTGAGTTTTTTAACAGTGCCACTTCAATTTACTCGTAAACTATTTGTTGTATCAAAAAAATTTCCAAACGAAAATTGTTTGGTATCAAGTGGGGCATACAATGTAATAATTAGTTTTCTGATAGTCCGCTCTTTTATCGAGATATTTATCATGATGTGTAATATTTGACCTTGATACCAAACAATTTCCGTTTGAAATTTTTTTGATACAATAAAAAGTTTACGAGTAAATTAGGTGGCACAGTTAAAAAACACCCTGTATGCAGGGTGTCTGTTTTATCTCAATACAGCGAAGTATCGTTTAAGGAAGTGATGTTAGGGAAAATATGTTTTAACAAAAGTTGTTTGGTACGGAGGGGGACATTATGTAGTATAAATACCTTTTTTGTATCGGGTATGGTGGGGGAGATTTCAAAGTCAGTATATTATTTTTAAATGGAATGCTATATTTTTTTATACATAATATGATAATGTATGTCAAGACGAGTCCAACGAGGTGCGAATAAAGTCATTTCCTTTCATAGAAGGTCGTAAAATTGCGAAAAACCAGGAGCCACCACACGTTCCTCACTGTCGCGTGTGTCTGTTTTATCAAAGGATTTTCATACAGAAAAAGTTAAAGATAAAAATGCTGGTGTTTAAATCGTTCGATCGCCATTACTCTCGTTTCATCCCCATCTTTTATTCGTTATCCGTGTCTTTGTTCGGCAAACTAAATAGAAAGGCGGACTATGAGGCTTGAAAACAGTGTTTCCTCTTCCCAAAGTGTCCTATTTATTGTTTCAAGCTAATAGACACTGTGAGAAGCTTTACTGAACCTGGGTGGAATACAGTGTTCACACTTCTTGTGAGGATAGGTACTTCGGAGACTAATTGAATGTACATGTTTTTCATGTGAATAATTGTCTAAATTAGACAATCAGGTGATTTTCTAATTGCCACCGACCTATTCCGTATGCCCGTGGCGTGCTTTGTGCGGATTAGTCGATGATGTGTGGGGCTGAAAGCCCTCGTTATTTAAACATTTGGCACCGTAACGGGAATTTCCGCCAGGCCTGAAATTCGCGACGTGACCAGGTAGGGGGTGCCGGATCCCAATTCAGAAGCCCTTTGGAACATCACGTTTTATGATACATAAATATAATTAGCTATTGAGGTCGTAGACGACGTTCAAGGAGAAAAAAGAAACGATTTCTTAAGAGATTAATGAATAAAGCGACTTTCTCAAATTTTTTCTATTCATGTAACGTGCTAGCCATCTGCACGCCGAATGTCTTCTTTCTTTTGTGCAGATTGCTAGCCGCTATGGAACAAATGTCTCCGAAGTCCAAAATGTTGAACAATGGTAAGGTTCAATTTTATTGTTCGGACCCAGATCTATCCCGCGAGTGTACCACGGAACAACACTGGTATCTTTTTTAAAATACATTTTGTACAGTTATCTTACAAAAAATAATTGATTTTTTGATAAATAATTGCACTTCATCATTTTCCCTGATGTTTAAATCTTTTCCTTGATTCCTTTGGTTGCCTAAAAGTTCCGTCTGTAATTCACATAAAAAGGAACATTCATTTTTCAATTTTCAATAAAAGTTACAAACACTTTCTCACTAATCTCCTACATGCAATTACTAATTCAATGCGAAATTAATAAATTAAGCTATTTTATTAAGTTAAATCATGTAACAAATTTATTTAATACTTCCAATAATTATAAACTATCATCTGAATTGTTATTTAACAAGAAACACTAATTATTCTATAATTAAAGTATTTGAAAATAAACCAAAAACTTTATTTTACTATCTACATTATTAGTAATGTTAAAGAAATTAAAAACTTATTACAAGTATCAGTTTTAAACTGCTTACTACATGCAATTATGCTCTAATTTACAATAACTATTATTACAAGCGAAAAATTCAAAGAATTTCTATTTTAAAAATCAACTAACCTGATAATATGTACTTCATTTCTGACAATGCTCTCGACAATACTCTCGATCCTTCCCCTTAGAACACTGATGGCAGACTGAGCGTAACAATTCCTCTGGTCTTTCTTAAAACCTCCAAATTAAACTCTTCCAATCAAAAACTACGTGATATCTAATGTTTCTGCCATTGAAATACCATTTGATTTAAGGTATGGAGCCTGTAACACTAAGACACTTCTTACTAGACTGTAAAATTGAGAAAATTCCAATGAATTTGGTCCTTACTTTGAGGATATTTATATTGTCCTTACTTTAATAATAGATCATTAAATAGACATTGCTCATAACGTTAACATACGTATAGATAGATTACACTTCGTTTCAAAATGATTTCCGTGAAATCTTGCAGCGACTAAGCACTCCTACGCACGAAGAAATTTGAAATTGATCTGAGAATTTAAAAGCAGATCTATGGAAGCGTGCTTTCTAAACAAAACGCTGACTGGCCGAACTCGCGCAGACGCAGTATGAATATGACTTGGCGCCTACTTACAAATTATACATTTAAAGAGCCGAAGAGTGAGTATATAAACTTAAAGTTCTTACAAATTTAAAGTGATTTTTGTGCAGGAAAAAAGTAAAAATGATAAGTTTATAATTTTTCAAGGTGAACAATGTATTCTTGGAATTTATTATGTAACATTTATCAGTCGGTATAAATATTGTAAAATATACAATTTTAAACGTTAGTCGGGCGAGAATTCTTTTCGAAGACAGGTTGAAAAATTCGTCGAAACGCATAGAGCGAAATGGAAGCAAAATTGGTGTATACTAAACAAAATCCAAGGGAAACTGCAAATCCGATCAGTCGTTTATTTTTTGGGTACGATTTTTGTTATTTTAATTTTTTCTATATTTTTCCATGATTTTATACAAAATATCACACTATTTATAATACTTATTTTGTTTCTACATTTTTTAAGGTGGACCAGGGAGATATTTTGCAAAGGCGCTAAGAGAGATCTTTTATTATCAGATCTCTATCGTCCTTTAGAGGTCGATAAATCAAAAAGACTCACGGATCGATTGGAAGAGTATGCAAATAATTTATTATCAGAATAATTAGCATTTAAAATTTATTGTCACCATGCGTTCTAAATTTCAAAGTTGCGTCACTGGATAATTTAAATATTTTAAAATAATGTTAACAAAACAAAATAATTACCGAAAAATTTAAATACTACATTTAATTTTCACAGCAAGAAAGAAAAAGAAATTATTTGTCTTCGTATATCTTATAGATCTTGGAACCAAGAACTTCTCAAATGGGATCAAAAACAGAAAGAAATACAATATGAGAAATTAGATGAAAATAAAAGCACTCCTTGTTTTGAAAAGGCGGTGATTCGTACTTTCTGGAAGGAATATCTTGGCATTGGCCTCCTGTGGAGCATTCAATACACGGTCCTTCTTGTCATAATACCAATAATTACATCATCGATTATCAGCTACTTTAAGATTGAAGAGGACACCAATTCTGTTACTAAAACGGATGCTCTCCTCCACGCTGGCTATCTAATTATTTCCATAACGATATCCGTATTCATAATGCATCATGCCGGTCTGCTATCTCAGCAAATGGGCATGAAAATACGCGTTGCTTCTTGCTCGTTAATTTATAGAAAAGTATGAGCTAAAATAATTAATTTAAAAAATTTAACAACCTAAAGAAAAAGAAAAGAATCCATAGAATAGTTACTAGGAAGTATCACAAGCTATTTCCAAGTATAAAAAATATATTCACTGACTAATATTTCCTGTCATTCAATTGGCAATGTCCTTCGAGCTAAATAGATAATATTCAACGAAGTAGTACCGTTTGATTTCATAACAAAAATTCCGGACGTGTAGTAAAACATTTACCACGTAACTATATTACATAAATATATTTTACTTGAGATATGAATTCTTTGTCATAGATATTGCGACTCAGTAATGCAGCCTTGACTCAAATCACCTCTGGGCAGGTGGTGAATCTTTTGAGCAACGACGTAAGCCGCTTTGACGAGCTGTGTTACTACCTGAATTTTATCTGGATCACTCCCATTCAAGTAGCATTGATTTTAAACTTTAACAAATCTAATACTGATAGTTTTAAGTTTCTATATTCTTTGTCACCTATTATAGGTAATTTTTGTAACCACTATAATATGGTATAAAGTGGGAATTTCATCCATGGTTGGTATTGGGACCCTTTTGTTGATGACAATTCCTGTTCACTCTGTCTTCATCAGACTGAATCACAAACTGAGGAAGGTTATTGCTACATTGACTGACAAGAGGGTGCAGTTCATGAATGAGCTTATACGTGGTATTCAGGTGCTCAGAAAATGAATAGAACCATATAATTCATGTAAAAATATGACACAATTTATAATATAAGAATTCACATTTCTATATTAAGGTTATCAAAATGTATACCTGGGAGAAACCATTTGAAAAAATTGTAGCAACCATACGTAGTACAGAAATCAAGAACATAAGTCTCTCCTCGTATATTCGTGCAACATATTTGGCCATGGTGGTGTTTACAACTCGTACAGTGCTTTTCCTGACTCTTTTGTCCTTTGTTTTTATGGGGAATTGGCCTAGAGCAGAAGTGACATTCATGTTGTCCACCTACTTTGAAATCTTACAACTCACTACTACACTGATGTTTCCTCAAAGTCTCATGTTACTTGGAGAGACTCTAGTATCCATCAAAAGACTGGAGGTTTCTTAATTTTTTAAATAATCATTTATCATCTGTCTTTTACTAATTATAAATTTAAAAAATTCTTCTTTTAGCAATTTTTATTATTGGAAGAGCAGTCCAACAAGACAAACGAACTAGTCAAAATGCATTATAATGGTGTCTTAAAATTCAAGAAAAAAACAGTAAACAAGGAGAATGTGGAGTCTATCAGAATGACCAATGGGAGCCACAATTTGAATCCCAATCATGTACAAGAATATATACCAGCTTCCATAGTCTTGGAACAAGTATCAGCAAACTGGGAGCCCAGACAATTACCACCGACTTTGTGCAATGTTTCCATGAAAATTCAGGGTGGAGAATTATGTGCTCTGGTGGGTTCAGTGGGTTCAGGAAAATCTTCCATCTTACAATTAATTTTGAAGGAACTTCCTTTGGGAGCTGGAAGACTAAAGCTGCATTGTAAGCCGTTTAAGGATAATGTGTATAACAAGCAGAAGTACATGATAGATACTCCTAATTTGAGGATCTCCTATGCTAGCCAGGAAGCTTGGTTATTTTCTGGGACTGTGAGGGACAATATCCTGTTTGGACAGCCTTATGACAAGGACAGATACATTGCTGTAAGCTTCACAAATATTTCTGAGACACCAAAATAAATTATTTAATATTTAAGGTACTTTATTAGGTACTTATTAAGGTACTAAATTCAAAATCAGGTAACAAAAGCTTGTGCTTTGACAAAAGATTTTCAACAATTTCCTTATGGCGATATGAGTAACGTGGGAGAAGGCGGGTCCTTTTTATCCGGAGGACAAAAGGCGCGTGTAAACTTAGCACGGGCCGTATACAGACAAGCAGATATTTACCTGTTAGATGATCCTTTGAGTGCAGTGGATTCACGCGTGGCCAAGCACCTTTTCTACAGGTGCATCAAGAAATACCTCCATGGGAAGACCAGAATTTTGGTCACTCATCAGTTACAATTTGTCAAACAAGCTGACACTATAGCAGTATTGGATAAAGTCAGTATGAAAAATACTAATAGAAAGACGAATAAATTTTTCACGCTTTTTAATATTCCTTTAAGGGTTTCATGAGAATGCAAGGAACATATGAGGAACTGTCCAAGTCCAGCAAAGATTTTGTAGAGATGATGAACCGAATAAAAATGTTCGCAGAGGCCAGAAAGCAAAATGAAAGTACAGAAATATCTGAAAATATTTCTCTAGAAAAAAGACCTAGTAAGAGGAGTGGTCTTAGTAGAGTTTCCATAACCTCCAACAGCAGTAGCGTGGTAATTATAAAACACAGTCTACAGTATCAGGAAACTGGCTTTTAATATGATTATTTTCAGATTTCCTATAACTATATGGATCAAGAACTAGCACCAGATAACGATGAAGTAATAGCAACTGGCCGTCTGTCCAGCAAAGTGTACAAAAGCTATTTTTGTTATGGTGGCTCTTACTGTACGCTATTTGCTTTATTGTTCATGTTCCTTATGTCTCAGATAGCGACTACTGGAAACGACTATTGGATATCTTATTGGACAAACTTAGAAAATGTCAGGAGATCTATGAATAATAATAATACCCATTTACTTAATCATAAATATTCGTTCTATTTCTTGAATGGTACTATTCTATCCAATGTCTTCAGTTTGGACAACCATGGTCTTCTGACTACATCCAATGCTTTATGCGTGTATGCGATTTGCATTGTTTGCTGTATCTTGACTGTACTTGTAAGAAATATGTTCTTTATGAAGGTCTGCATGAATGCTAATAGAAATCTTCATAATTCTATGTATTCCAATGTGCTGCAAGCTGTGATATCGTTCTTCTATCATAATACTTCTGGTAGATATTATCATAGAATTATTAAATAAGTATTTATAGATGGAAAGATTAAATGGAATTACATATTTGTTGATGTAGGTAGAATTTTAAATAGATTTTCCAAAGATGTTGGATCTATGGATGAAATACTGCCTAAGGTGATGTTGGAGACTTCTCAGATATTTCTCGTGATAATAGGTGTCCTTTCTATGATAATCGCGGTAAATCATTGGATGTTTGTTCCACTGTTGGTACTTCTGGTGTTCTTCTTTTTCGCAAGATTATCATACCAAAAGACTGCTCAAAGTGTGAAGCGTCTCGAAGGTATAGGTAAGTGCTCCATATTAATATTTCAAAATATGTCATTCTACAGTGGTGCTAAAATTCCAGCAAAAAGTCCTGTATTCTCCCATATAACTGCCACACTAAGTGGTCTGGTTACAATCAGAAGCAGTGGGCCAGAAATTGTAGAGCTATTGCAGCAACAATTTGATGATCTTCAAGATGTGCATACAGGGGCATGGTATATGACCATAGTTGCCCCTGCAGTCTTTGGTCTTTATTTAGACATAGTTGTGAGCATATTCATTGCATGTGTCTGCTTCTCCTTCATTCTAATGGACACAGGTGCTTCTTAGAAAAAATACATCTGAATCCGCTTTATGTTTAACCTCAAAATGCTACTTCTAATTCTAGATGGTATTCTGGGAGGTAACGTTGGTCTAGCTATATCACAGTCTCTAATTGTGGTTGGTACTTTGCAACATGGGGTCAAACAGAGTAGTGAAGTGGTATCCCAAATAACCTCAGTAGAAAGGATCTTACAATATACTAATTTGCCTAAAGAAGGGTCATGGACCAGTGCTGATCCCCCACCTGCAGATTGGCCAAAGTATGGTCAGCTAACTTTGAAGAATGTTAACATGAAGTATGAGGAAGACAAGCCTCCTGTGTTGAAGGTAACTGAAATGGATCAATTACAGAAATTATTCTATATATAGAATAATAATTTTATATAGAGAGAGAATAATTTTATATATATAGAACCTAAATGTAACGATAGAAGCAGGATGGAAAGTAGGCATCATTGGCAGAACAGGAGCTGGAAAATCCTCCCTAATATCAGCACTGTTCAGGTTATTCGTGGATGGACTAGAAGGAGAGATCAAGATAGATGGACGGGACAGTAGAACGTTAGGCCTACATGAACTGCGTTCACGAATATCCATTATTCCTCAACAGCCATTTTTATTTTCTCAATCGTTACGTTACAATTTAGACCCGTTCAACATCTACGACGACATGTTGTTATGGGATAGTCTTCGACAGGTCGAGTTGAACGACCTTGTTCTAGACCAAAGAGTGATGCACAACGGAACTAACTTTAGTATAGGGCAAAGACAGTTAATATGCTTGGCCAGAGCAATTTTGAGAAATAATAAAATTCTTGTCTTGGACGAAGCAACGGCTAATATTGACTCCTAGTAATTTTAATTCTTTTTTCTATGAAAATAATGTTTAAGGTTTGTTAAGTATATATCTTTTTCAGCACTGATGAATTAATTCAGAAAACTATAAGAACCAGATTTACATATTGTACAGTCATTACAATTGCTCATCGTTTGCATACTATTATTGACAGTGATAGGATTATAGCGATGGATACGGGTAACATAGTGGTACGATTAGTTTTCATTGCGAAAAATTTCAAAATTCTTACCTACCTTGGAATACATAGTGATTCTTTATAAAAAAATATAATTTTTTTATGGGAACAGGAATTTGGTTGCCCTTATGAATTGCTACGCGACAATCCCAAAGGAATTTTCTCACAAATGGTGAGTAACACAGGCGTGTCTATGGCGCAAACTCTTCGAGAGCAGGCGGAGATGGCTTATTTGAATAAAAACAAACAACGGAGTCTAAATTTTAGTCCAGAAAGCTCAACGAAAGAGGACATGACAAACAATGTGGAGCAGAGCTCTCTTTAAAAGGGATTAATGTTGAGACATCTAATGTACAAAGTAGTAATTTTCTATCTAATAATTAGTTAGGATAATACAATGACATTGGGAATGTTATTCGATTTCCCGTATTTATTTAAAATTCAAAGTATTGATACAAATATGTGTTCAATGAAAATGAAAAATTCTTCGTTCTCCACGAACCTAGTCTCACGTCTCTGCGTTTCAACATAATTACTTCACTGTTTATACACTGTAACATTTTTCTTACTGGCATTAAATGTCCAAAAAAGAAAATTATTAATTGGAGATAAACTGTAAAATATATATTGTATAAATAAATAAATTTGTATAGCATGAAATTTTAATGTTTTAGAATCGTTTTACTATATTCCATTTGGTTCCACATATTGTTTTTTGAGGCAGTGATAAAACTTAAAATACAATATTGTACACATACGTTTTTCTAGGAAGACTTTTAAATGAATAAATTTAAAAAATGGATTATTTTTTCTGGAAGATGTTGGAACTGGTAAAATTATCATTCTCTACATGTGCTTTGTCATCTATTCTACTTTGGTTGAAATATAGAGTAGTCACGAATGTCTCTTTTTCACTTCTAGAAGAGATTGCACGTAATCTCCTATGTGTCACCCTTAACGTCGTAAAAGGCAATAAGTTCTGTACCCTATTTCTAGAGTA